TATATATATATATATATATATATATATTGTTTTATATATATTCGACCTGATCGATTGAACCAGTGACCTCCAACCCGGAGACAAAAACTGTTCAACCTCCGAATCAATTTTTAAAACAATACACAAATATGTAAAATGCAAAACTTTGTATACGGTATTTCTAAACCTTATATTTAAATTTTACATATTTTATTTGTATGTATACAAAACCAACCAGCAAAAGATAAGTGGTGCTTTCGGTTCAACAAATTAAATTTTTTGAAATGATCCAAAAAGATACTTGGCATTTTTTGATACGTTGACTAACCATCAGTACTTGCAAGTTACAAAGTTTTTTTAAACCCTAGATTTAATCCAATGGCTTAGTGTGGGTCCTCTGAATTTATCAAGAAACACAACTCATAGCCTATTCATGTGGGCCCACCTCAGAAAGCCAGAGACAGATGTATAGGAGTAAAATAGGAAAGCAAAATGACATGATCGACCCATGAATGACATGATGATCCATATTATAGGATACAAGGGCGAAGCAAGATCTGGAGTTGTTCTCACTGCCTCCGATCTTCACTCCAACGGGAAAACATATAAAAATAAGAAAAAGCAAAAAAATAATTGGGATCCGTTTTAAGTTTTAACAAACCTTAAAGGAGGTTATAACCCAGAACGACCATGACTTCCGACGGCACGAGGAGATTGATGAAGATAATCGCCTTTATTCTATGGTCATGGATCTAGTCTTATCTTGGCTGGATATCGTCAGAAATGCTGTCAGAGACTTGGTCGCTGTAGACACAGGGAGACGGTGAGAGGACAGCTGAGGAGCTTCAGTCAAAAGTCTCGACATCTTTTTTCTTACAATTTTCTATTCTCACCGGGGTTGCATCATTTCAGCGCGATCCTGCATCCTCGGTTTTGAGAACCAACATCCCACGGTTTCCTATCCCATTCCAGCGAAAAAACACGTGAAAATGGGAATTTAATGGAAATATTCCCATTTCCCATCTCAATCCCAGCAACTAAATGTACCATAAGAGAAAGGAGGGAGGAAGGTAGCACAAACATTTGTATTGGTATTTGAGATGCCAGATTTACATTGCCAATGGGTGTAAATTTTGCATCAGATATACAATTAATGGATGCAAATAAATAAATATTTTGCATCCAGTTCAGATTTATATTGCAAGTAAATCGACTAAGGAGGTGTTTGATAATGTGGTGCTTTTAAGCTTGGTGTGGTGGAATCAACACCACAGACCACTGTTGCTTGGATGAAGCCATGCTATTTCACAATCCACACACACCCTAAATCACAATGCAAACACTTGGCAAATAGGATATTTAATGGGTAAGGGCTATTATCTATATATCTATACTCTAGTTTATAATTGTATATAATGGGGATACTTGTCTTGGTTTCTGTGCAGGTAATAGAAGTTAAAAATCATAGTATCATATAATATCATATATCGCTAATTCTTATGTCTTTACCATTTTATTTTACTTGCACTAGTGCATAACAAATATCTGTATTCTCGTAGGTAGGGTTTACATCTAATGGATGATGTGGT